CTGAATATATCTGTGATATCCATCTGGTCCAGTGTGTCATTTAAGGCCTTTATTTCCTTGTTGATCTTTTGCTTGGATGATCTGTCCATTTCAGTGAGGGGAGTGTTAAAGTCCCCTACTATTATTGTATTATTATTGATGTGTTTCTTTGATTTTGTTATTAATTGGTTTCTATAGTTGGCTGCTCCCACTTTAGGGGCATAGATATTTAAAATTGTTAGATCTTCTTGTTGGACAGATCCTTTGAGTACGATATAGTGTCCTTCCTCATCTCTTATTATAGTCTTTGGCTTAAAATCTAATTGATCTGATATAAGGATTGCCACTCCTGCTTTCTTCTGATGTCCATTAGCATGGTAAATTCTTTTCCACCCCCTCACTTTAAATCTGAAGTTGTCTTCGGGTTTAAAATGAGTTTCTTGTAGGCAACATATAGATGGGTTTTGTTTTTTTATCCATTCTGATACCCTGTGTCTTTTGATTGGGGCATTTAGCCCATTAACATTCAGGGTAACTATTGAGAGATATGAATTTAGTGCCATTGTATTGCCTGTAAGGTGACTGTTATTGTATATTGTTTCTGTTCCTTTCTGATCTACTACTTTTAGGCTCTCTCTTTGCTTAGAGGACCCCTTTCAATATTTCCTGTAGAGCCTGTTTGGTGTTTGCAAATTCTTTCAGTTTTTGTTTGTCCTGGAAGCTTTTTATCTCTCCTTCTATATTCAATGATAGCCTAGCTGGATATAATATTCTTGGCTGCATGTTTTTCTCGTTTAGTGCTCTGAATATATCATGCCAGCTCTTTCTGGCCTGCCAGGTCTCTGTGCATAAGTCTGCTGCCAATCTAATATTTTTACCATTGTATGTTACAGACTTCTTTTCCCGGGCTGCTTGCAGGATTTTCTCTTTGTCACTAAGACTTGTAAATTTGACTATTAGGTGACGGGGTGTGGACCTATTCTTATTGATTTTGAGGGGGGTTCTCTGAACCTCCTGGATTTTGATGCTTGTTCCCTTTGCCATATTGGGGAAATTCTCTCCAATAATTCTCTCCAATATACCTTCTGCTCCCCTCTCTCTTTCTTCTTCTTCTGGAATCCCAATTATTCTAATGTTGTTTCGTCTTATGGTGTCACTTATCTCTCGAATTCTGCCCTCGTGGTCCAGTAGCTGTTTGTCCCTCTTTTGCTCAGCTTCTTTATTCTCTGTCATTTGGTCTTCTATATCGCTAATTCTTTCTTCTGCCTCATTTAACCTAGCAGTGAGAGCCTCCATTTTTGATTGCACCTCATTAATAGCTTTTTTAATTTCAACTTGATTAGATTTTAGTTCTTTTATTTCTCCAGAAAGGGCTTTTATATCTCCCGAGAGGGTTTCTCTAATATCTTCCATGCCTTTTTCGAGCCCGGCTAGAACCATGAGAATCGTCATTCTGAACTCTAGATCTGACATATTACCAATGTCTGTATTGATTAGGTCCCTAGCCTTTGGTACTGCCTCTTGTTCTTTTTTTTGTGGTGAATTTTTCCGCCTTGTCATTTTGTCCAGATAAGAGTATATGAAGGAACAAGTAAAATACTAAAAGGGTGGCAACAACCCCAGGAAAATATGCTTTAACCAAATCAGAAGAGATCCCAAATCGTGAGGGGGTGGGGGGAAGGGGATATAAAGAGGTTCAGAAAGAACAAAAAAAAAAAGAAGAAAAGAGAAACAAATAAAAAAAGAAAACCAATAATGAAAAAATATAAAATGGAAATATATATATATATTAGATAAACTAGTTAAAAAACGTTAAAAAAGAAAAGGGTAAAAGTTAAAAAAATTTAGGAGAAGAGAAAAAAAAATTGAAAAAGAAAGCAAAATTAAATTAACTGCAAGGCTAAAGAATCATGGGGAGAAAGCCATGAGTTCCGTGCTTTGCTTTCTCCTCCTCTGGAATTCCGCTTCTCTCCTTGGTATTGAAACTGCACTCCTTGGTAGGTGAACTTGGTCCCGGCTGGGTTTCTTGTTGATCTTTTGGGGGAGGGGCCTGTTGTAGTGTTTCTCAACTGTCTTTGTCCCAGGCAGAATTGCACGGCCCTTACCAGGGGCCGGGCTGAGTAATCCGCTTGGGTTTGCTTTTGGGAGCTTTTGTTCCCTGAGCGCTTTCCGTAGAGTCCGGAGGACGGGAATGAAGATGGCGGCCTCCCAGTCTCCGGCCTGGAGGAGCCGAGAGTCTGGGGCCCCACTCCTCAGTGCGCCCTCAGAGAACAGCGCCCAATTACTCCCGTCACCCTGCCTCTGGCCACGTTCTGAGCTGACCGAGCCTGCGAGCGGTTCAAGGTAACCCCGAGCTTAGAGCTCACTCCTCGGCTCCGTCTCTGTAGCCGGCTTCCCGGTTCTAATACCTGTAAGCTCTGAGACACTCAGACACCCCGATCCTTCTGTGACCCTGTGGGACCTGAGGCCACGCTGACCCCGCGTGCGCTTCACCCCGGTTAAGCCTCTGGAGCGATGTCCCTCAGCGGAACAGACTTTTAAAAGTCCTGATTTTGTGCTCCGTTGCTCCGCCGCTTGCCAGGAGCCGGCCCCTCCCCCCGCCGTCTATCTTCCTGTCGCTTTGGATTCACTTCTCCTCCAGTCCTACCTTTCAGAAAGTGGTTGATTTTCTGTTTCTAGAATTGCTGTTCTTCTTCTATTTGATCTCCCGTTGGATTTGTAGGTGTTTGCAATCTTTAGATAAGCTATCTAGCTGATCTCCCGCTACCTGAAGTAGTCTCAGCTGCTACTTCTCCGCCATCTTGACTCCTCCCCCCGAGAATGATAATTTTTAAATGTGTTTAATTTAGTGACTACCAACGAAAGATCAAAAGATGAAAAAGATTTTTAGATTATAATTAAGAAATATATGTCAACCTAAAATATATGACAGCTCAGGTTCCTTGAACTGGCATATCTGTATTTAGTAATTTGACCTTTAGATTCAGAGATTCAACCGATACACCATGACATTTAGATGACAAAAAGATTAAAAAAAAAAAAACTTTATTAAATAAATGTACAGCTTCTCCCACCCAGTTTTTCCAATAACCTATTTGTTACCTGATAGATGATGATATTTATTTCATGCATCCTTTTGTGTGGAGGGGGTACATAATAAAATTGAACTCTACACTCGGCTTTGCTAAAATATGCTCAGAGAAAGGTTAAATAGTCTTGGAAGAAATGTTTGATAAAAGCACAATGAGCATGACCATCTATCAATGATTACCTATAGGAAACAAAACCTGTACAGTCTTAAGTTGCCCATCATTAAGACCGGCCATTTTTATGGAAAGACTGATAACTAACTTTGTGAGCTTTCTTTTCAGGGTGAAAACCAATGGAGTCTGAACGCTACTTATCTGAAAAGGTTTCCTCAAATTCAATTTAAAAGTGCATTTGTGACATAGCATAGCTATAACTGTCTTCTGGAGTGGAAATGTCTAGAAATGTTTGACTTGAGGGTCCTCAGGAGGGCCTCTTATTCTCCAGTTCAACTCCCTCTCCTCTCCCATTGGTTAGCATGGTAATCCCACCAAACTCAAGTCTCCTGCCTTGGGTAAGGTTTGCCCTCTGCAGTCATCCTTCATTAAAAAGTAAGTACAGGTTGGGAAAAGTAACATATTAAACTGCTGCCACTCTCATCCTTATTTGACAATCTTAAAAAAAAAGTTTTTGTTTTTTGGGTGGTCTTTTGTTTGTTTTTTACTCTTACTTGAATGCAAAACATAAAAGGGAAATTTAATTTAGAATCAAACTGAAGGGGTCATTTTTGATCATGGCACCTGGTAGAAGACATTCACACCTCCCAGAGGACCACTTTGGGGGTTATCAGGAGACAGAATTGGTATCATAAGAAAGAAAAGAGATTGGTCAGGGAACAAAGAAGAAAGACAGGATCTCTACTGGCCCTGAGTGTAGCACATTACCCCTGCTGTCATCATTACTCTTAATGCTGCAATTAAACCATAAAGTATTTCTGACTCTGGGGTAAAATCTACATCAGCTTAATAGGTCCAAGACTTTCATTGAGTCTTCTGTTTACTTTATCTACCACATTTCTAGTTCCCTGATCATACCCTTCCACACCCCCCCCTACTTGAACTTTTCCTTTATTTAATGCCATGCTTCTAATTATGGCATGAGAAGGATGTCATTGGCTGGTAGTGTGGTTTGTAGGGTAAGGTTGTAAAGTCTGATACAATCCTAGGGCTTAGAGACCCACATTCACTTTTCTCCACCTGCTGCCAAGGAGAATTCCACTGGGAAGTTATTAAAAGGTAATTTGTTTCATTCAACACATAATCAATAAAATGCAAGAATAAAATCATGACACTCCTTGACTTACAGTAAAAAGTCTTAAATAGTAACATGAGATATTGTTTTCTAAATATGGCACTTTAAACCTGCATTTAATGATCTCTTGCTAAGGTTAAAAGGGTCAAATTCTTGAAATACTTCAAAATCCAAAGGGAATAATGTAGAAGTAACAGCCCACTCTTGCTTGTCACATACTCCTGACAAATGAGTCACTTCCAGGGAAATCACTGGATCTAAAATGCTGGAGCACAGAATTTTGTCTCCCGTCTACTCCACCTGTATCTACACAGGAACTAAGAGATGGGCATGTGCTCTCAAATGGATTGTTAATCAGAGCTCCTCAAACTGCTTAATGAAATGTTCAAATGTCCCAGTTTCTTTTCTGACCAGAAAGGGAATATGAAGTTAGATGTCAATCTCAACAATTTGAGGCTCTTAACATTTCCTTTAAAATCACATATAAACTGTTCTCTATTCCTTTGGAAAGTAGAAAATAGCCACCCTCAGGAAAAAGGAAAACAACATTTATGGTAGAAGATAAAATATGATGTGATTTTGTTAAGATCCGCTGCTGGCTTGCTCAAAAGGCTACTGCTTCTTGTTCAAGCTGCCACAGCAAATCTTTGCTAGTAGGGAAAAAAATTTCCATGGCTCAATGATGAGATAATATCAGTAAGCAATTTATTAAAGAGCCTGCCATCCATCACTGGAATTTGGAACAATAATGATGCATTGAAAATAAGTATTCATCCCAGGTTTTTTTTTCCCCTCCTCACAAATTCCTTCAGCTCCAATATCTCTTCAGTAAATTGTTAATAGTATTTTGCTCTTTGTCTTTTTGGAAACAAACCCAGGAGTGAGAAGGCACCAGCAGCAGCTGCCACAAACCCAATGGTACTTATTGCTTGATTGGCCTATAAAGAAATGAGAAACAAACAAAAAACAAATCTTATTCTAAAGGCATCTCTGTCCTAAACCCAAACTTTAGCTTGTTCTTAAAATGAAGACCTTTTTAATGTACAAAGGATAAATTTAAAGCTTCATGTAAAATTTAACTGTGTATGAACACATAAATTTATGATTTTTATAATTATGACAAAGATATAGTTAAATACACATATGTATATATTCTTCATATTTTTGTGGTCCCCAACAATTTATAACTCATCATGGCACAATTCCTTATAAACATGGTAGTACATCTGGGAGGTAGTAGTACTCCTGTTTTGCAAAGCTTGGTAAGTTAAGTGATTTGCCTGAGGTCATTCCACCATGATGTTTAGAAATAGGTTGAGTCGTGAACCAATTGCCTCTAAACAATCATTATCTCCTAAACACATACAGGTTGGTTGGGTCTATACCAGGGTGAAAATCTGAGTGTGTGTGTGTTTTCTGACTTGAGAATGTCTACTAGCAAAATAATTCAGAGATGTCATCTAAGCTAAATACCTATAAGCTCTTATTTGGTAGATACAATTTCTATTTTGATAAACAAACTTCCAAAGAAGTCAATAATGATGTTAACTATTGTGTCAAAAATTAATTTCTCATGTAGACAAACTAAAATAAACCACTCTCAAGCTCAATTGTCCATAAAGGAGTTCAGACATTTATAGCTTTAAGGATATTAATCATCATGATGAGGGATCTAATGAATATTCATGGTTTTCATGGCACTCAGCTAATATTGCCTTCCATCTGTATGAGTTTGAGTGCAATTTTATGACCCAAAGGTCACATTCAGATGCTTCAGAGTCATCAGGTATTTTGAAAACAACAGTTGTTCTTTGGGATTTAAGAATCGGGCTTTCAAATAAAACAAAACATTTCTCCCAAATGACTCTAGGGACCAACCCAAATACTGGAAATCCTGACCCAGCTCACATTTGAGCACTCCTTCTGTCTAACCCACAGGCCTTCCCCACATAGGTTGCCATTCCCACAAGACTGCTACACAGTGCTACCTCCCCAACTATAGCTTCCCTGTTGGAAATAGACCACAAGGGCCTGGCCAAGAAAGAAACACGTTATACCATCCTGTGGTCTCTAGGGACAAGGCCTGTCATTGTAGCTCCCTGCTCTGCCACCATCCTCAGTTGCCAGGGAGAATGGCATTGGCAAACAACTGACAAATCCAATTTAGTTTACAATTCTAATTCTGTTTGGTTGATTATTTTATTCATACATTTTAATGAGTCACCACCTAAGTTATTTCCCAGGGAAGAGTCAGAATTTGCCACAGCATAGAGCTACCCACTTGGCACATGGAGAGCCAAAGGGACAGGAAGATACGAGATAAAGGACAATATTCCAAAGAGGGGAAAAATCAGTAATCAGACAAGAATCAAGGATTATAAATCAAGCCTAACCCTCATTTAATTTCAGGCACATACTGAGATCCCAGGAAGTTTTGAGATGGGGAAGTGTGGAAGGTAATAAACAAATAAGAAGTTGCAATTGGTGCCTTTAGAAAGAGGAGTCAAAAGATAGCCTGGGGAGGTGGCAGAGGCCTATGGGTAGGGTGGTCCCAGCTAAATGCAGACCTAATTCACTGTGTCTCCTTCAGCCGCTTGAAACATAAGAGGCGAGAGAAATCCCACAGATCTAAGAGGTCTGGGGAGAGCAATGTGATCCTAAACCAAAACCCCCTGAGAGCACATAGGCCAGATACCATGACAAGGAAGCTACTTCCTACAGTGTAGGCAGTTTCCCAAATCCCAAACACTTATTTCAAGTTATAGTCCAGATGGCAAAATTCTGAGTAATTTGGATAATCTCTTGGAGTTATGTGTAATGGGATTTGACCTGCAAGAATATAACATCCCAGAATGTTCTCAGTGAACTAGAGCTTTTATTTTACAATTTAGGATTATAAAATCACTTAAGCTGACTTTTCACATTTTATCCTTTACAGGGTTCATAAAGAATAAAGGCCATATTCCGAGGATCTATACATGACCAATGAAACATTAGCTGAATCTGGAGTGCTGTGTCCTGACATAGTGTAGCTGGGTCACAGATGACTTCAGGGCTTATCAAAATTCCTCTTCCCCTGAGACGAAGGCCACAGTGCTATGCACTGAAGCACAGTCAGACTGTATCACAGTTCAGCTTGTCCAGGCCTATTCAAGGGCGCTGCCATCTTCCACAAAGGCAGGCACATTTTAATACCTTGTTAAGACTGTAACAGTGGTGGGGCGCTTGGGTGGCTTAGTGGGTTAGGCCTCTGCCTTCGGCTTGGGTCTTGATCCCAGAGTCCTGGGATCGAGCCCCGCATTGGGCTCTCTGCTCAGCAGGGAGCCTGCCTCCACCTCTCTCTCTGCCTGCCTCTCTGCCTACTTGTGATCCCTGTCTGTCCAATAAATAAATAAAATCTTTAAAAAATAAATAAATAAATAAATAAATAAATAAATAAAAGACTGTAACAGTGGCAAATGTCTATTTAAGAATTTTTTTAAAGGCAAGCCACAGACTAGAAAAAAAACGTTTCCAAAGACAGATCTGGTAAAGAACTGTTATTCAAAATATGCAAAAAGCTCTTAAAACTCAACAAAAAGAAAATGAGCAAGGAACCCAATTTAAAAATCTATAATTGACAAAAGATCTCAAAGGAAACATCATCAAATATGATATGCAGGTGACAAAGAAGCACATGAAAGGATGCTTAACTTCACAGATTTAGGGAATTGCAAATTAAGACAATGAGATACCACTCTGTACCTAGCAGAATGGCTAAAACCTAAAATGATCACAACTCCAAATCCTAAAGACGATGTGGAAAAACAGGAACTCTCATTTACTGTTGGTGGGAATGCAAAAGGGTAGAGCCACTTTGTAAGACACTTTGGTGGTTTCTTACAAAACTAAACATCCTCTTACCATACAATCCAGTAATCATGCTCCTTGGTATTTACTGAAAGGAGCTGAAAATTCATATCCACATGAAAACCTGCACACAAATGTTTCTAGTAGTTTTAGTCACGATTACCAAAGCCTGAAATCAACCAAGATGTTTTTTAGTAGGTGAATGTATATCCAGACAATGGAATGTTATTGAGTGATAAAGAAAAGTGAGCTACCAAACCATGAAAATAGATGGAGGAATTTTACATGAATGTTGCTTAGTATGCATACTGCTCAATTGTTGCCAGAGGTTTAGAGTGAAGGAAAGATGAATACTCAAGTGGAAGATAGAGGAATTTTAAGGCAGGGAAATTATTCTGTATGAAACTATAGTGATGTATATATATACGTCACTATACATCTGTCAAAATTTATAGAATGTACAACACTGAGAGTGAACCCTAATGTAAACTATTTTAGGAGAGGCAAAACCTTTTCCTGTATCCACCTTAGTTTCTCAGCTAAACCTTATTAACAAAAGACAACTTTACAAAAGAAAACCAACAAGTTTACTAACATATTCATCTCATATATACATGGGAGAAACTCAGGGAAGAGTATCTCAAAGAGGTGGAGTAGAATTCAGGCTTATATGGCATCTTCAAAAAAGAACAGTAGGTTTGTAGAGTAATGACAGGACAAAAGAAAGCAGTTTTAGGCTTCCCAGAGCAGCAGACCATGGGAAGGTAAATATATGAGAAACTTATGACAAAATCTAGTTAGTTAAGGTTGTCATTTAGATTCCTCTGGTGTCCTCTCCAGGCTGGTAAGAGTCTTAATGATAACCACCAGTTGTCCTGGATGATTAACTTTTGTCCTTCCTGCTAGAGAAGGGCAGAGGGACACCTTTGAAAATGTATGTCCAACTTTTACGGTCTGCTTCTCAACTGCTTTCAGCTCAAAATAATCCTTATGCCACATATTTTGAGGTGACATATTCCAGCTTTCATCACTATGTACTCTAATGGGTAACATGTCAGTGTTGGTTCATCTTTTGTAACAAGTATACTACACTGATGTGGACTGTTAATAGTGGGGAAGGCTGTGTACATGGCTAACGGGGAGGGCTTTGAGGGAACTCTCTAAACTTCTAGTTCAATTTTGCTGTGAACTATATACTGCTCTAAAAAATAAAGTCTATTACTGTTTTTTTGAATACAGACAAACACAAAGAAGACAAAAATGGGGCTACAATCCTTCCACCTTTCTAATCTTTTTAAATGCATTTGCAGTTTTTTAAATTGGGATAAACACACAGCCATCCCCCCCCAAAAAACAGTTCTAAGCTCAAGACCCCAAAGCCCTGAGGAGATCCAAAAATGAATCCAATATTAGCTATTATTAGTAATAATACTACTAATTATTGATAGTTATGAAAATAATAATACAAGTGCTATAGTTTCTATCAGGTCAACATTTTATTGAAGAGTACCAACAAAGATATATAAATTTTTTAAAATATTGTGATTAAAAATATTCATCCAAGTTTTGCTGGTTTGGTGATGAATAATATGTAATACATTGTGCTAACAGACTTCAAATATCTCCTATAATCCTCCAAACAACCTCAGTTTATAGATTAGGAAACTGATAAACAATGTTCCCAAAACCACCCAGCTAACCCCTGGGGAAGAAGTTGGTCTAGCTCCGGTCAGCAGAATTCCAAAGTTTAGATGGCTTCTTAAGGCTGTCACAGCACTGTCTTCAACAGAACCTGTTAGAGAACCATTCTAGTTGTTGAGGAATGATTAATTTTCCTGAGTTGATTCTGGGTATGAAAGGTGAAAAGATGAGGGATTGTAAATTAGAGTCAAAGCAAAAAGGTGGTATTAATCCTTTTTTTTTTTTTAAAAGCCACATTAAAAAAATTGCTTGTTGAACACAGCAGACAACTTTATCATTTGCAAAGGAGAGGGATGGACTGCATTTCCAGCTATATCACTAGTTTTCAATGCGAAGGTGAGCAGGAATTTGTGTGGATATCCTCTGTGTTCTGGTTCAGAAGCAATTTATTGTTATATGTGAATAGAACATTCATTATGTTAATGCATTTCCTAATAAAAATGAGTTTCCAATTAAATTATTTCCCAATGAAAACAAATGTATCCTTTCATAATGTTCCCTCTCCTATCTTCCCAAGCTTCCATGAGAAGAATTGTAAACTCATTCCTTAGAATAGACTTTTATATAACAGATTCAACAGTTTCAAGATACTGGGAACCTTTATTCATTCTCTTATATCACTTTAATAAATCTTTAGCTTAAAACATCCATGTTGGAATTGGATTGGTGGTATGATAGGAAAAAAGAAGGCAAATGAATCAAGCATGCTTTTAGTTAGGAATCTGCTATGCTACAAAATAGTGTGAGAAATGGCAACATTGCATGCTATTTTAAAAATAATTGATCCATTTTAAAAAAATTATCCAAAATCTCAATGAATCAAAGGAGCTGCTTAAAAGCACACAATTCCTCTGAAACTGGCATTGCAAGGAGACAGAAACCATTTTCAAATCCACCAAAATATGTCTGTCATTAGTTGGCCTCTCTCAGCTAAGGGAAAAGAATCCCAGAGTTACCATCTATGTTTTTGGCAAATGATCTCCCACTTAAAAATGTCAACATTCTTTTCAGAATGTTCTTTTCAGTGCATGAGGTTACTGATTTGAAACTGCTGTATGACAGGGAAATGGGAAAATAGAACAAAACAAAACCCTGAAGGACAGAGGATAATAGGACTGACAGAAAAGCTATGGTCTTGATTCTGCTTCAAGTTCCTCCCAGCCCCAAATTCATGATGTCCACATTCAAGCTTTAATTTGGCCATTAACTTGCTACATGACCTTGGTCAACTAGATTCCTTCCTTTATCCTTTGGAATTCTCATATTTTCTTGTCCTTTTCCTTTTGTTTGCTGCCTGGGAGTCTTACAGTCAGTAGTTATTATTTTTCCAACGTAAGAACCTTTTTTATGTATCTTCTAAAGGAAACTCACCTGATCTGAAACTCCTTCTCCATAGCGAAGCAAAGTCACAAAATGCTCACAGTTGTTGACAAGTATGTCATATTCCACCTCCTGTCCAATAACCATCTCTGACCGTTGCATGACTTCTTCCACGGGGAGAGGGGAGTAGGTCCCATCATATTTATTGTTTATTCTGTATGTGTCCTTTCCCACAACATCCCTCAGCAGCTGCATCTTCACCAGGGCTTTCCTGCTGAATATAGACTTGGCGCTCGTAAATGAGGAAGAAATGCCATCCTCTATAAGGAGAATTCTAGTTAGCAAGATCAAGTGATACAACCCAGTGAAATCCAATGCCATATAATTACAGTGCCACACTTTTGGAACTGATGGAGTCACTGAAGCCCCTGAAGGAAGGAAGCTCTGTTCCTAACTTACCACCAAACCAGAGGCCACTTAATCTTGCCAGACTGAACAACTCATTCTGTAAGTTTATCGGTAACAGTACAATATGAGTGGAATATAAGGAAACTCTCTGAATATTTGTATCTGCCCATAGAGCAGATTGGGTGAGAAAACTACCCATTCTTGAGGAATAAGATCTCTATCATTGGCATTATTGTTCGAGATCTTGGTATATGTTCTTAGCACAGTACATCTAAGACCACTGTCTACTTTTTTCTATAAAACATGCTCTTTTTCAGCATCTGAACCTTCCAAACTAGTATCTCTGGAGCTCAGCAGTTGTGTATTAGGATCAGTGAGTTCATCCTAGTCTCGAAGCTGTGCTCCTTACCCCTTCTTCTGCCTTTTACACTTGTCCTTTCAACTTGGCTTGAAATCTGCATGGTACAATTTGAAACCTGCATGATACCTCAGTCCTCTAAAGGGTCAGAGAGGATCAACTGGGGCCCTGCTTTTGTCTTGCCAGTTTCTTTCGACCAAGAAACTAGGTCCTGAAACTGAACCTAACCTAGTAGGTGCTGCCCAATAGATGTGGCCCTAGGCTATGCCCTACCCACCCACCTGTTATGTGCCCCATCCCCTGCCACTCCATTTTAGCTGCCTTATTTGGCAAGCATCTGCCTAGACTTCCAGGGACCATTGTCTCCTGGTCTGCTACTGTCAGTATCAGCCTGGACAGATGATTGCTCAGTGTTCAGCTCTAACACCAGGCCCTGGTCCCTCTCCATCTGCCTGAGACTGCTATGCTTGGCTATTTGTTCAAGTAAATCATGGATGGGGGGAGGGGATCTCCATATAACTGGTGGTTAGACACTCTTCCTTTTTCTACTTCTCTTTTTTCCTACCTTCCAAGCTCCTTTTCTTCAAGCAGCATTTCCAGTTACTATCTTACACATTGAAAGTCCTTATACATTACAAGTTCTTAAAGCCTGTATCTCCTAGTTAGAATTCCTAAAATTTAAAAAAAAACTAGTCTGTTGCAATCCATTTACAGGTGAGGATATTGAAGTGTGGAGAGATAAACTGGCTTGCAAAATATGATGTGAGTAGTTAACAACAGAACCAGGAATTGGATTTCAGTATCCATGATCAAAGCTCCATGCTACAACCACAGTAATATGGAGCTTACTGCGTGAAAATAAAGAAAGAACAGGAAAATCTCTTTATTATTTTCCAGATGTGAAAACTGCAGAAATAATTTAACATTGCTTAATGGTAATCACCAGACTCTGCAGAAACTAATGGCTCTTTATCATATATGTTATTTTATTTGCCATTTCTATTTTCAATACTCTAGAACAAGAGGCAAATATCTCAAAATGTTGCAAAAACCACTTCATTAAAAATTCTCAGGTGTTTTCAAGATAGTAAGACTAGGATTACTAACACTTTTTCTAAAGGTATCATGTCCCAGTCTATTTAATTGCATATATTTTTTCTTAAGAAACGATTTGTGCTTATTTCTAAGCATTTAGGAAATACAAAAAAAACCTACATAAACATGTAGATATAAATCACCCATTATCTACCCACCCAGAAATAACTGTTATTATTTTGATGTACTTCTATTATGTCTTATTAACACATGAATACAGATGTGTGTATATGTGTGCATTCACATGTGTATATATTATTTCTTTGCAAACTAGGTATCACATTACATACTACATTTTAAATCTGGAATTTTCAAATAAATATCATGCAAGATTATCTCATGCAATTAAACATGGCCAGAAATATGATTTTTTAATGGCCATTATAGTAGCTGTTGTTTTGGCCTATCTAGCACCCCATCCCACAACTGACTCTTTCTTTCTGGAAAAGGTTTTGTATGGGTCAGTTATAGTATCTCATTCTCCTGGGCACAGGGATGGTCCAGTGATGGGCATGGGATCCACACTATATGAACTAGGATTATTCTCCATGCTAGTTCTTACTAGAACAGGAAGGGATTAGCTCTCTTCTATTGGGTCACAGGACTGTAAGAATGAGAGCCTAAGGATACTGACGGTCAATTAGTTCAGCTTCCTAGAGAGACATAGACTGGGAGTATTAAGACAATATACAGAAAGAAAATGCAGATATGAGGCTTGATAATCATGTTCAATCCCCTTCATCCAAGCATCCCTGAGTCCAGTACCATCTTCACCCTTTTTGTAGTTCCCCTCAGTGAAGCAATGAATTTGCCTTTTTGCTCAACCTAATTTGTTTGTTTTCTGTTACTTGCAACTAAAGAATTCTGTCAAACATAGAATATGTTTGACATATCTAATATGTCAAATATTAGATATGTCATATATCTAATATTCTGTGGCAAAGTCATAATTCATTTAACTAGTTCCCTACTGAACATTAAGCAACTGAGAATTTCTTTTTTTGTGTCTCTTAGTCTCCTCCACATATTTCATCCATTCCCCTATCCTCTCCCCTCTGGTAACCACCCATTTGCTCTCTATATTTACGAGTCTGTTTCTGGCTTGTTTGTTCACTTGTGTGTGTGTGTGTGTGTGTGTGTGTGTGTGTGTGTTAGATTCCATATGTAAGTGAAATCATATGGTATTTGTCTCTCTCTGTCTGACTTATTTCACTTAGCACAATACCCTCTAGGTGCATTCATGTTGTTGCAAATGGCAAGAACTCATTCTTTTTCATGGCTGAGTAATATTCCATTATTTATATACCACATCTTCTTTATCCATTCATCTATGGATGGACACCTAGATTGTTTCCCACATGTTAGCCATCGTAAATAATGCTGCAATAAACATAGGGGTACATATATCATTTCAAATTAGTGTTTTCATTTTCTTTAGGTAAATATCCAATAGTGGAATTACTGGATCATAGGACTTTCTATTTTTAATTTTTTGAGGAACATCCATATTGTTTTCTACAAAGTGGCTGCACCAGTTTGCATTCCCACCAACAGTGCTAGAGGGTTCCCTTTTTCTCCACATCCTCACCAACATTTGTTATTTTGCTATTATCTATTTTTTAAACTGTTATAAATGAGGTAAAAGTAAACACTCTTATAAGGAATGTTATTCCACATTTCTATAAATATTTCTGAAGAATAAAATCATGGAAGTACAATTACAGGGGCAGAATATATGAACTCTTTTAAGACTTTTAATACATAGGAACGCCTGGGTGGCTCAGTGGGTTAAAGCCTCTGCCTTCAGCTCAGGTCATGATCCCAGGGTCCTGGGATCCAGATGCACACATCGGGCTCCCCGATGCTCAGGAAGCCTGCTTCTCCCCCTCCCACCCACCTCCCCTCCACCCCCCACCACTTGTGTTCCTTTTCTCGCTATGTCTCTCTCTGTCAAATAAATAAAATCTTTTTAAAAAGACTTTTAATACATACAGTTAAATTGCTTTCAGGAACGATGTTAGCAACTTTCATTTCTTGAAACAATATCCTTGTTTTTATTTCCTTATAGCCTTATCCACACTATTATCATTTTAAAATCTTTGCTAATGTGATAGTCATAAAATCTATTATTTTATTATACAATTTCTAGATTACTACCTTTAAAGATAGGTATTGGCTTCTGGTATTCTTTTCCTATAAACTGTTCATAGTTCCTTACCCAGTTGTTTGTTGGGATTTTGATGTTTATGTATCCACAGCATCTAGAATAGCATTTGGCATATGCTGAGTAATCTATAAATAAATGCTGAATGAATTGATATAATTTGTGTGATATATAAAGACAATGATTCTTACCATGTTTGTGACAAATATTTTCCCCAGTGGATTATTTACTTTTTCATTTTTTTTTTCCAATCCAGAGGTTTTAAATCTTATGTTAATTGGTCTTTGTGATTTATCCAGTCCCAGTTTGGTCTTAGTATGTCCTTCTCTAAACCTGTTTCAGATAGGTTTATCTACTTTCTATATTTTGTTTCTATTTTATTTCATGAATTCATTCATGATTCCTCCTTATAACAAGAAAACTCAAAAGCTCTTAGGAGTTGCTGTAAACAAACCTTACCTAGAGGTGCTATGTTGATAACATAACCATCACCCAAGTACAGTGCCCAGTGCTGATAGCCAGAACGAAATACTTCAATCAAGTCCCCTGGCTGGGGGTTACCAGGATAGCTCAAACTAAAACAATCATTAAACGCCATCTGAAATGATAGACACAGAGGAGATCTAGCTGACATGACTTGCCAAAAGAAAATTCGTTTAAGACTTTCATAGAAGTATAGACACACAGAAATTATTGGGATTGCATTCCTTATTAAAGACTTAAACTCACGCCACTGTCCTTTTCTTTGAATGATTCCAACACTCTATTATATGCATACAGTTGAAAAAGATGTGAGAAAGAATTTTGTTTGCTAATTGCTTAATTTTCTATAGCAATGCTTCTCATCCTGGTCAATCCCAGGGCTCCTTTACAATAGTAAGCATTTTATAGTTCCCTCTTTAAATCCAGAAATTCATAGATAGGATAATTTACCTACATACAAAATTTCCAAAGTATTAATAGGATGTCCTATTTGGAATAGAAAGGGGAATTTAATTTATAATAACATCTGTTTTATGTAAACACTCAGTCTGTGACTGTACCAAAACCCATAATAAAGTATCCATATGCTTGTACTTACTTAGCATGAAAAAGGTCAACATTCAGAAGCAGAAGATGCGAAGTCTTTCCGCCTTTCATATACCAGCCTAGTAAAATCAAAGAACAGGGCATGGGTGGATACTGATATTCTGTGCAAAAACATACCTTATATTGCAAAACTTACTCTATCATTTAACTTAACCAGAGATAAGTTCCAGGCTCAGATGAGTGGCCAGCCAGATATTCAGTCATACTGTAAGAAACAGAACATTGCTTCCTTGTGCCAAACTGTATCATGCAGGACTAGGCACTTCAGTCTCTACCCACTAAATAATCAGTAAATGCTCCGTGTCATATGACAACCACGAATATCCCCACCTATTTCCACCACTCCCCTACTGCTTCACTCACTGTCTGATTCCTTACTTACTGATTCCAAAAACAGTGTAAAGTAGCCATCGTAGAAGTGAGACAACTTGAAAGGTTGGGGAGTTCACCATGTTGATGAATATGTCTGAAAATTCTGAGTTTGGTGAAGATTTTTTTTTTTTAATCAATACTTTTCAGAAAGAACATAGAAATCCCTGATGGTTGATTTTTATGGGAGGTTACATTTCCTATGTATGTATGGCATGGAAGTAGAATGACTCAGCAGGCGGAAGTTAAGAGACATTCATCAATACTCAAAAGGAGATTTAGTGCTGTATCCGTGTTGAATCTTCAATTGACATCAGATTCTCATCATCTCTCACTCTAATATAGATATGTATGCTCATTAACAAAATAAATCCAAGTGCCAGAAAGGGAAATTTCCAAACCATCTAAGTTATAATCATAATAGCATAGGCTAAGGACTTGGGAATACAGACTATCATTTTTCTGGCACTCTAAAAGTCTTTTTTACAACACTTCATATTGGGAGGGTGTTTTCCCAAGTATTTGTGTGCCATCTGTTGAAAACTTCAATCATCACACTGTCACAGAAATCCCGCCAAATGTAAGCTGTCCATCTGTTGAAAAATAACTATGAAAACAACTTTATGGAAACCATTAAGTCTAACCGCTCTGTCAAATATGTTTGAGTCTTATTAAGATGGAGTTCAGAATTTGGCCACATGGGCACTAAAAGGAAAAATAGATCATATACTATGAAATAAACAAACACATTTCCCATGAATAAGATTCAGCAAACACACCCAGCTGCCTACTAGAATTCAGGGACCCAGCCAAGTGCACAACAATAATCATCCTTTGAACACAGAGCACTTTGTAGTGTAACATTTTTTTTTTCAAATGCACTATCTCCATTAACCCTATTTAACTTTTTAAACAACTATTTGAGCTTATTATGTTGCCATCACATTTTGCAGGGAAAAAAATATACAACAGCTAATGCCAACTTCTGGAAAATACTCCTTGAAACCTTCGTACAGATCACTTATATTGGGGTTATATCCCAGGAAACCCATTGTTAGTTGAAAATACCATAGGTCAAAATGCATTTTCTTTATCTAACCCACCAAACTCCATAACTTAGCCTAGCCTACCTTCTACATGCTCAGAACACTTCCATAAGCCTACAGTTGGCAAAATCATCTACCACAAAGCCTATTTTATAATCAAGAGTTGAACATCTCGTGTAATTTATTGAGAATTGTATTGAAAATGAAAAATGTGGCTGTATGGCTATATGGGTACAAAATGGTTCCCAATGCTGGAGCAGTGGTGGTGAGCTACTGTAACCAGGCTTTGTGGACTAGCCAAAGCTAGACAGGTAGATGGTAAGCCACAGAGGTGGCTGTGTGTAAATGTTGAGTAAGTAGCTCATGGCTTTTGTGTGATTTGAGCTCCTTATCCTTTCAGCCACAATAATTCCATGAAATGGATGATTCCACTGCACAATTTTAATATATTTAACACATTTTCAATTCTGACACATAGTTTGTAAACTGATTTATGAAATGTAAGTTAATTGATTTCACGAACCCTATCATTTATATATATTGAAGGATGGTGGGATAACAAGGAAAACATTTCATATGAGTAGCCACTCAAGAAACTAAGGGAGGAGATTGGAAGCTAATATGTAAGGGGAAAGTGAGTTCCAACAGTAAGTGCTTAGAAACACAGCAATTTATTGCAGAAAGGTACATCAGACATTACATAATCCACTGCTCTCCAAACTTGTTTTTAGCAGCAGGGCCCCGAATTAAATCAAATATCAGAGGGACCCACAAAAATATAAAACACAAAAGTACCTCTATCCTGGATGAAGTCAGGAAGGAGCATGAGAGTCCCATCTGCTTCTCATTGCTGCTGCTACTGAGGTTCTCTGGGGCCCCAGAAATTCTAGGAATGGAGCTTGAATAACACCCATCTAGTTCTAGAACAGCCCCTCATTTTCAAGATAGGGGAACTAGTAACAGGTGGACACTTTGACTCACCAAAGGTCATATGCTATTTTACAAAAGATTTTCAAGAAATGGTGGGAGAGCAATTGAATACTCATTAAAAAAAAAAAAAAAACAGGGGGCGCCTGGGTGGCTCAGTGGGTTAAGCCTCTGCCTTCAGCTCAGGTCATGATCTCAGGGTCCTCGGATCAAGCCCCACATCGGGCTCTCTGCTCAGTGGGGAGCCTGCTTCCCCCCATCTCTCTGCCTACCTCTCTGCCTACTTGTGATCTCTCTCTCTCTCTCTCATTCTCTCTGTCAAATAAATAAATAATGTTAAAAAAAAAACAGACAAAAAAAAATAAATACAAACCTCTACCCAAGTCTCACACCTTATACAAAAAATATTTCAAAATGGATCATGGAATTAAATGTAAAACTATAAAACATAGAGGAGAAAGCACATAAAATAAATTCTCCAGGATCTAGGGTAGATGGGTTCTTAGTCTTGATACCAAAAGTACTATCCATACAAGGAAAAATTGGCAAATTGACGTCCTCAAAATTTAGAATTTTGCACTGAAGAAGACCCTGTTAAAAGCTCAAGAAGACAAATTACAGAATGGGAGAAAATATTTGCAAATCCCATAACTAAGAAAGGACGACTACTGAGAACATAGAAAGAACTCTCAAAACTCAAGAGTGAGAGAGCACGGAATGCAATTAGAACCTGACTACGAGACACAAAGACATTTCACCAGAGAAGAGACTCAGATGTCAAGTAAGCCATGTTAAACATCATTAGCCACTTGGGAAATGCAGATTAAAACCACAATAGGATAACATCACACACTTACCCCAATAACAAAAATTAAAAATACTGACAACAGAAAATGCCAACAAGGATGCACAGCAACTCTATCACTCATTTGCTGGTGAGAACATAAAACGGCATAGCCATTCTTGAAGCAATTTCTTTAAAAACTTGTAACTGCCATATGATCCAGAGATGTACTGCTAGACATTTACCCCAGAGACTGAAGACAATGAAGACTTATATTTACACAAAAACCTATACATGAGTGTTTAGGGCAGCTTATTTGTAATAGCCCCAAACTGGAAACAGCCCAGGAGACCTTCAATGGGTAAATAAATTGCGGTACAGCCATAGCATGAAATACTGCTAAGGAAGAAAAAGAAACAAACCACTGATACGTGCGGCAACCTGAGTGAATCTGCAAAGAATTATGCTGAGTGAAAAAAACCAATGCCAGAAAGTGTGATACCGTATGATTCTATCTATAGAATATTCTTGAAATGACAAAATCAGAGAAAGAGAGAAGAAATAGTGGTTGCCGGGGGTTAAGGAAGTGGTGAGAGGGAGGAGAGTGTCGCTATAAAAGGGCAACCTGAGAGATTCTAGAGATGATGGAAATGTTTTGCCTCTTGATCACATCAAAGCAATAAACTGTCTGTGATATCGCACTGCAGTTTGCAAGACGTTACCACTGGGGGAAACTGGGGAAAGGTGCAAAGGATCGCTCTGTGTTATTTCTTACAATTACATGTGGATCAAGAATTACCTAAAAACAAAAATATTAGTGAGAAAAGAGACCAATGCTTTTTTTTTTAAATATAGGACATAGGAGAGGACAAATATGTGGAAGTTATATCGAGGGAGATTTCAGCTGTGTAGGAGGAAAACTTCATCGAAAGTTGTCCAACAATGGCACAGAGCACCTTGTGCAGATAGCAGTCTGTCACTGGGCATGTTTAAATACAGTCAGGGTTGATAAAAATGGCATTTCCACAGTAGTGGTGGAAAGCGAGAGTGATTAGGGCTAGAAGGCCTTGTAAGGTCCCTTTCAGCTCTGATGTTCTCTCCTTCTGTTTTCCCAGCGTGGTGCTAGGGGGAATCCTCAAATCAACACCATGAACGAGAGAGAATTATTTCCCCCATTTTAAAGATGAGGCTTATGGTGTCCACAAGCAGTTCAGGAACCTACCCAAAGTCACACAGTGGGAAAGGGCAGAACCCACAACCTGGACTCAGACTAGCCTCCTTCCAAGATCGGCTCCGTATCCTAACTGCTTCTGCTCATTTACACTGTACTGCCTCCATTGCTGGTATTTCAGCAGCCCTTCTAGCACACTCCTGGGCCACTTAGCCATTGGGAGCTGATTATTATGATCACCATTTTACAGATGAGGAACCTGAGGCTCCGATGAGTTATCTGTCAGACCTAAAATTACAAAGATAGTAAGTGGCAGAGAGAGAATTCAGTTCCAGGTCTGTCTTCTTATTCCAGCCTGCATGTTCCTTCTTTATACCATTGATTAACACCATTAACCAAAGGAACTGCTACTAAACATTTCTTATTTTCCCTCTTCTCAAAAGCCCATCACATGGAGAAGCTGTGAAAGCACATGGAATATATATTTCATCAACAACACAGAAAGTTTTTAAACATTTACATGCAGAACCAGAGAGTAATGGGAAATGGACCTTGGGGAATCCCTAATCTTCTCTTGCATGGGGGGTGTCAAGGTAGGGCTAGAAGCATCTAAAAGGCGCCTAGACTCAGACCTTAGACAAATGGCTATAACCTGTCTGCTTGGGTAACTTGATTTACATGGACCACATCTACCCATTTCATTTGGGCACACGAAAATAATAGTGTGCTTCATGAACATGAGATAACACAGAACTAATGAAAGATACATTTATGGGGCGCCTGGGTGGCTCAGTGGGTTAAGCCTCTGCCTTATCGAGCCCCACATCGGGCTCTCTGCTCCGCAGAGGGCCTGCTTTTCTCTTCTCTCTGCCTGCCTCTCTGTCTCCTTGTGATCTCTCTGTCAAATAAATAAATAAAAATTTTTTAAAAATTTAAAAAAAAGAAAGATCCATTTATAAAGTCCTCTATTACAATCTTTGTGTGTCTCCTTTAAGATAAAAAAGACTGTTTTAACAGTTCATCTGCACAGAATTGTTTGTCTAGTTCATAACAAAGAGTGGCATGAAGGTAAATCTGCAACCTTTGTACAAGAAATTTCTCGTTTCTACTGCCAAAACAGGCTACCTTGTTTACAGCTCCTTGTTGGTCCCTCCCAGTGCATCTAAAGATACAACTGTCCCCTGAACAGATAGAGACAGGCTGATTACCTGCTGCTCATGTCCATAGGCCACCTGTGTTACAGGAATACTAAGAGCACTTTTCCCACAAACTCCTCCCCAAAATGCAAAGCTGTTGGAAATCTGAAACACTGACACAGATCATCCTTAGTCCAACAATCTTCCAATTTGATTTGGACCCTTTCCCACTTCAGTGGAATTTTTTCATCCATGGTCCCAGTACACTGAGATGGTTCCACGAAGCCCCACATTCCCAGAACAGCTACTTCGCAACCTCTCAGAGCTGCAAGGCACTTTGGTTCCACATCTTCACTCTATAGCTGAGGAGATGAACCATCCTCCCCACCAGATAAACCACCCTCACTCAACCACTGCTTGGAATCCCTTCAAGGCTCCCCACTACTGACTTCCCATCTTTCCGCATATGCTCATCCCCATGTTCTAGGAAAACCAAACTATTCATTATTCCTCACACTCACCTGGAATTTTGTTGCTAACACTGAACCTTCTACCTGGTATGCGCTGCCCCTTTCCAAATGCCCCCCAAAGTCCCACTCTTAGAGATCCAGGTCAGATGCCTCCTCCTTCCCAAGGTCTGCTGGCAATCAGCCAGAAATGTCTCCTTGGTAGTTTCCACGGTGCGTTATCTAACGCCTATTGTGTTTCCCACACCTGCGTCAGTTACTGGTGTCCGGGGAATAATCTCTTCCGCTCAGTATGGAGTGTTGGTTCTTGTTTGTCTCTACACCTTCAGTTTCTAGCAGAGCGCCTAGCACAAATGACTGCTGAGCAAATATTTAATGAATGAGGGAATGAGAAGCCCCAGCCTAGGGAGGACAGAGTGGTTGGGTTTTTCCAACACATAAATCATATTAATAGTCCCAAATGCCAAAGTAATATCACCATCCCCCAAATCTAATATTTCGTAATACCAATTACTTGTATTATTATCCGTATTCGTTCAGTGAGGACGATAGCTTCAAAAGACTTCTTATGAAAGACCAGTTTCTAGTCCTGTTCTGCTACTTAATGGCTGTGTGACTTAGGTACTGAGTCTCTCCCTGTGGAGTCGGTGCTTCCATTTGTAACAAATAAGGGCACGGAGGCTCTCTACTGGTCCTTTGAGTTTTGCACATCTGACAGGTGGTGCAAACAAGGTTATCTGGGAACCCAGAGGTCCTCCCCACCATCCCCAGCCCACCTTGCTCAAGCCCGAGGGCGTCTTTTCCGCTGGTGGCAGCTGTCGGGGTCCTGGGGTCGCCCTGGACTCGCAGCTGCCGTCCCTCTGGCTAGCGGCCACCGGCCCACTCCATCTACCCTCGGGATAGGTCAAGGCGCAGCTGCCCACGACCACTCGGCGCCGCCCTCCAGCCCAACGCCAGCTCCCCCGCGCGCCCCGGCGCCCACTGACGCAGCCGCTCACTCTTGCGGGCTCCCGCACTGGCCCGCGCCGCGGGGGTTCACACTCCTCACTCAGAGGAGCCCTAACAAGTCACCTGCCCTGTGCGCGTGCACGCACACACACGCACGCACACACGCGCACACCCAGCGGTCAAAGCGCAGCCCCAGCGCGGAACCTGAACAATGAGGGAGCCCCCCCCACTCTCCCGGGAGGCCCCCCGCCCTCCCCACCCCGGCCCCTAGCCACTGGGATACTCTTGCATCAGATTTTTTATGGTATCAAGGATTGTGCTAGACACAGCAATTACTAAATTAATGTCTTGTTGAACCTGGAAATGTTCTTGTACACTCGTCATGCATGCACACTGCACCGCTAGAAGTATACACCCTTCTAGAGTTGCGCAGATTCCTTTACCCAGGAAAGGACCCTTAGTGCCTGTGCCCCCAGGAAAGCAGCTCGGTCTTTAACTCAGAAGTGGAAGGAGGGCGTGGCCTTAGAAAATTTCCCTGCTTCCAAAGACACACACCCCTACTGGATGAGAGCTTGGGAGCCTGATCCAGAGCCTAAGGGCTATGAGGACACACATGGACCCCGCTCCCTTTGGACCCCTACGTATCACCACCCTCTAACCTAAGATCAGCTTTAGAATGGGAAGAGGAGAAGAAGGAGAAAGGAGAGAGGAGGGCCTGCCAACCCCTCCGCAGCCAGGTACTAGTTTCTCCCAGTGCAAATTTACCTGGCTCCTGATGGGATGGGGCCTTCCTTAAAGACAAGCCACTCTCCTTCTCCAGCAGCCGGTGTGCCCCTCCCTCACCTCTTCTGCCCTTCCCTGCCAAAGTTCTGGTTCTGTAGGTCCTTTATTCAGCATGAATTGGGTGCATGTGACAGAGCAGGGCCTAACTGACTCTCTTTCAGGCCAGGTAGGTCAGCAGAGGTTTCCAGGAATAAAGCCATGCAAGTTTAAAAATAAAGCTGGGCATGAAGAGTATCCCTTTTCTTACTGCTAAAAAAGGGAGGCCAGGAAGACTAGCCAGCTAAGTAAGGAAAGCCTGGTGGACTGCTAAGTGAACTTTTTGGAGCTCTGTACAGGACTTTCCTTCAAATAAGTCATAACCTAGATTTTTACTCTGATTTAAATGGAATCACAGCTAAAAGGGAGGAGTCAAAGGCTGAAATAGCTTGCTAATTTTATCTGTTTTGCCACAGTAGGATAAGAATTATGTAAAGATGCAGCTGCCTTTATAAAGGAATCAGGTTCTGTTATGAAAATTAAGGGTGAACCTGCATGGTTTGAAACTAGGTCTGGCTTTGGCAACTTTGGAGACAGAGAGAGAACATAGAAAGACATGGAAAGCATGAGGGATCTAGATATAATCACCGGCAAAGTGGAAAGGAAACTAGAACACTTGACAGGCTGTAGCTTTGGGTAGCTTTTTTTTTTTTTTTTAGCTTATATTTTTATTATATGTTTCCTTTTTTATATATTTTTAGAGTTCTAAGCTGAATCAGATATACCTTTCAATACCCATTGAATGTCTGTAAGAGAAAGCCATAAACATGCATTTGCTTTATGTTCCCCAACTATTTCCATTGAGTCATCACTGAAGGAAGTGGTTCATGATTTTCTACAGGAGAGTTATTGTGAGCATTTATAAAGCCATCCCACTTATGAGTTAAATTTATTATGTTTGCCAGGTTAATCTGTTTTCTCTAATCGGACACTTAATCATCCCGTCTCCTCTCTGTATTATGGATTCATGAATGTGAACCAAGGAGGAATGCTCAGTCAGGGCAAAATGATAAATTATCATTTCTTTTTGGGGGTATTTGTGATTAAATGCATCATAATAGAATTAAAATGAAATAAATCTTATAATTTTACTTCTAGATCCCTGCCAGGTGTAGATAAAATGCATTCAGTTCAGAGTAAATTCAATTTGATGCCCAAGTGAAATTTGCAGGGAAAACAGAGAGAACCTTGTAGTCCAGGAGAACCCTGAGTTCTCTCTTCCTTTTTACAGGAAGGAGTGATAGTTAATCGCTCAGTGGTTCTCTATGGAGGAGCAGCACAGAATTCAAATTTCTAGGCAGAAGGAATAAGGAGTTAACCTTGGGCAGTTATAACCAAAGCTGATCTGAATCCAGAGCTGTGATCCCGGGATCTCATGGACTTCACATGGTATGGAATGGGAGCAGAGGTCAGCTTACAACCAAAGCTGATCTGAATCCAGAGCTGTGATCCCGGGATCTCATGGGCTTCACATGGTATGGAATGGGAGCAGATGTCAGCTTACAACCAAATCACCATTTTCCATTACTTTGGTTATTCTGTTAACTGAAGCACCACGTGCATGGCCCCCTCAGTTGTTGCCTAACTGGGTTGAAACACGTTGAAATAACTATAATGGAGGTGATTTAGTCATGTTTGTTGCTAAATGAATAAAGTCCACATTCTAGCAAAAGCCTGTGATGTAACAAACCACTATTTGCCATATTAATACATGGAAACTAAAACCAGTTTGTATTGTGTGATGTCAGAGTGCTCAACACAACGTTTTAGTGTGTGGATATTTACACATACACACACATGCACACACACACACACACACACACACACACATCAGTAAATACTTTCATATCCATAGTCTCATTTGATACTCACAACAAACCCATGACTCCTCAGGTCCTGGAAAGTTGCCCTTGAGGCCTGAGCCACAAAGCGTCTTACTCCATGTCTATGGGGATTGGACCAAGATCAGGCCTCTTACTGGAGAATTCTTCCTCTACCCAAACTCTCTCTTATATTGGACAGTGAAAGCAAAGTCTTCCTTCTAGATTAAACAAACAAGCAAAACAAAAATGAAACAAAACTAGAAAGACACCCACATGCAAAACACCAAAAAAACAAAAGGCCTGTACAAAATGAGGTGAATGTAGCCTTGGGCAAAAAACAGTCTTAAGAAGATCTCCCGGCCTTAACTCGGGTATTTGCTGAGGTGACAGAGTCTGCTGGCTACATGAGCATAGTAAGTGAGAGTTGAGACAGTCACTCGAATAGTCCCACCTCTGTACCCCAAAATCCATGTTATTAAAGTAAAAGCTTTTTTCTTGACTGCAATATCCGGGCTCATGTCTGTTCAGACTAGATTTTTCTACAGAGTGCTCAAGCCTCTCATTCTGTCTGCTTTGTACATCCTCAGTCAGCATGATCAGATCTAGAAATCTCTTTCCCTGAAGAGTCCTTCTGCTGTGCACATCCAGGCTATGTGATCTCTCTAGGGTTACTACTTCTGAACGGTCATGTGCTTTTGAAATTACTAAGCTCAGTAAATCAGGTTGAACAAAGTCTCTGGGGCCACCAAGAGGATCGGTGGAGAAAAGAGTGATTTAATGAGGCCCCAGGTCAGAGGCACACAGAAACACAGAAGGAAGGAAAGGGGTACGCTTTCTATAGAAGTTGCCTGCATTCCATCCAAGAAAGAAAACAATGGAAAAGCTCTGAACAGTGAGTCAAGAGTCTTGGGTTCTAATCCCAGTTTTACACTTGCTAGCACACGTTCCTTAAGCCTTCTAAGCCTCAGTTATACGTGTGAAATAGGAAAAGTAACACATATCCTGCCATTCTCATAGATCTGTGGAAAGGTCTTTTAAGATATTCAAAAAGCTTAATATGAGTAAGAGAGAATAAATTCAAATTATGCTCGGTCAATAGATACACCGGGATATCCTTGGAAATGATGCTTGAATTTCACCATATTCAGGCAGAATAATGGCTCAATGTATACATAATATTCCTATTCCTACTTTCCCTATTTGCCTCTTCCCATTTTAAATTCAGAGCCAGTAGTCTTATTTATTAATTGTAACATTTACATAGTGTAAATATCTGCCACTTAAAAGTGACACTGACAATGTAGTTAAGCCTTTATTGTCTTTTATTAGTCTAATAAATGAAAGCACATCACTAAAAAGAGACCACAAATATAAATGATTTCATGGACTTTGCCGTAAGGGAAAATCCTACAATGCATCTGGGAAAAGGTAATTCTGACTTGGTTCTCTGTAAAATGCTAAATTTCTGCACAAAATCTTACAACACAAGTGTTTACAGGACTCTCGGTGACAAGAAAAGCGATAGTAAATGCGCCTCAGCACTAAAATTCCTGTATCCATGGAAACCTGTGAAGTTCTCTAGGCGCACACGCACGCAGCCTACGTATTTATTGAAGGGCTGAGGCAACGATCAGTAGGTTACTACGCTGTGAAAAGCTGACAGATTGCTGGGAGCTGCTCAGCACAACCGTGGATGTTTTTCTCCTGCTAAATGTAATTACAGAGAAATTCAGAAATCTCAGACATGATGCAGGGAAAAAAAACCATGTTTATATATTTATAGGTACTTCTATCTCTCAGAATACGGTGTCCTTAAATCAGATATTTGACCAGAAAAGGCTTGAGAAACCATCAGTGTTTTTCTCCCCCCAATCCTGGCCTTCCCCCAACATTTTTAGCTACATTCAGAAAGACTTCAGATTTTCCATGTGTGCACATTCAGATATTTCCTGATTGGCTGGAGAAAATGCTACAAATCTTTATCAGACTGATTATTTCTGGGAATTTGAATGTGTTCCTGGTGTTCAGTGCTTCCAAATGTATAATTGGTTTAAAGGCAAAGAGCATAAAAACATCGGAAGGAAAGAATCATCTACAGATGATTCTATAAACGCTACAGATATTTGAAGTGTTTACATAGCCCAGGACCAATATTCTGATAAAATAAAAGGAATGTTACTCATAGAGGTATATTCACATAGTGTTCTATTTTTTAAAACATACATATCATCTCATTTAGGGGCAACATCAGTCTTTATGAGTATTACTATCCCTATTTTACCCTTCATTACCTAGTCCTGGATTCTTTCTCAAATGTTATTCTAGATTTTAATGACTTAGAAATGGTCTGTGTTTTGGTAGAAATACATTGAAACAGGTAACACTGTTGAGTTTTTAAAAAGATGTTGTTTGGGGACACCTCAGTAGGTTAGGCATCTGACTCTTGATTTCCACTAGGATGGTATCTCTGGGTCAAGAGATCAAGCCCCACATCGGGCCCCAGGTACTCAGCATGGAGTCTGCTTGAGATTCTCTCTCTCCCTCTCCCTCAGCCCCTCCCCCAATTCATACGCTCTCAATAAATAAATAAATAGATAAGTAAATAAAATATTAAAAAAGGAAAAAGACTGTGTTTTATCCTCACAGAAGTTTTCTCATTAAAGATACTTTCATGTTTAGTTCTCTGAAAATGTGCTGTGCAATGTGGTAGCCATTAGCTGCAGGCGACTACTGAGCATTTGAAATGTGGCTTGTCTCATTTTGAAATGATAATATTTGAATATATTGAGGTAAACTAACTATATGACTTTAATTCACCTGTTTCTTCTTACTTTTTAAATATGCTTACTAAAATATTTAAAATTATATATGTGGCTAGCATTCTATTTTCTACTGGACAGCTCTGTTCTTATGAAGCTGTCCCCAGCCTCTAAAAGGGGTCTTTTTCTCATAATTCCCAGTGTACCAGATTGGCTCATTCCTGTAATTAACCTGCCATACCTTTCACCAGAATAAAGAGATTAACAGCACTAATTGCTTTCACCTAAAAAAAAAAAAGAAAAAAAAAGTGCTTTATATTTGCTTTTTTTCTGGGCCAGGTTTTTCTCCTTTTCTCCCATCCAAGTCTCCCTGACAAAATCCCACGAAGCGAATGAACCCAGTTCCTTTTTCTTTGCTTCCAGAGAGGTAATGAGGCAGAGCACCTGCCCTGGGAGATGCAGGAAACCCTGCCCTTGCCTGATGCACAGTTTGCCAGGGAAAGCACACCAGATACGAGACAAAATCTGTTAAGTACCTCACAAGAGAGGGCTGCTCCATGTTGAAATTGGCTCA